GTACTGGCCTCGAGCAATACCTTGATACGGCTTTTCATGGACTGAATGAACATTCATTCAGTGTGATTTGCTTTAAAGGTTGCTTTTAATGCTGTATTTGTTCAGCAAATGTAGGCATTCATACTGCACAAATATTAACTCCTAAATTCTGCAGGCTATCCCCATGATATGCCACCTGGCAAGCATTATTGTAATCAGCACTTTATTATCCTCCACACTAATGGAGGCCTCGGATGACATTGGTCATTGAAAAGCACAGATCATTCAAACATCGTTCAGGCATTGCGACACTGCTCCCCCATCCAGGAAGCATCCAAGGGCAGAAGATACTGAGTGATGACAGTTTCCTGCCTTCCCTGTGGAGGTGCGAATACATATTATTTTTGTCAGAAACTTGAGCAGTAGAAGTGAAAGGCTTTTTTATTGTAATTCCTTTTTCTGAATAAAGGAGTCTGTTTTCTCATGGAGAGGCCAGAGTTCCAAGGAGATAAACAGCAAGTATATTTAAAATGCATTTGCAACTTGGAACCAGTGGGTTGGTTCAAAGCCTGGGGTGGTGGATGCTGCATGGGACTTGAGGAATTAGTGGGTGTAGACGGCAGATATTTCAGATCTGACTTTGATATTTCTTGTGTTTGAGATGAGCCAGTCTAGCCACCTGTGAACCTCAAAGTGTGCTTTCTACCTGGCAGCATAAACATCCCCTGGGAATTTGTCAGAGATGCAGGGACCCCACCCTAGCCTTCTGAATCAGAGACTGGGCGTGAGGCCAGCATGGGGCTGTAACAAGCCCTCCAGCAGAATTGGATGCCTGCTCAACTCTGAGCACCCCCACTTTCTGTGAAGGGCTCAGTTTTCTTTATAAAAGAAGGCGCTGGTCTGGCTTATATTGCTGTCCATCTCAGCTCTCCAGTGGCCTTGGCGTTTGACCCTGGAATGGGTTGAACCATTCTCTGTCTTACATCTGAACCTTCCCGTGGATGTGTCACTGCAATAATTCAGCTAAAAAATAATTGGCACGTGGGTCACAGCAGAGCGACAAATCTCCAGAACACAACACCCAAAACCCACATAGCATGCTCACTATGCAAAAACAAATTGTCCTGTCTTCAGTGGTTTGTGTCATTTACCCAAAGTGAAGAACACAGGTGCTTCCGAAAGCGAGGCAGCCACTCCTTTCTGTAGGGGCTGAGGGCCTGTCGGATGTGATTCACGGAGCAGCATTGCTGCAGTAACTAACAAATGGCATTTCAGAAGGGTGCAGACTTTGCTGTAAAACAAGGGAAAATTTTAAGCCATTTATCAAAACTCACGCAGCTTCTGTTTCAAGACAGGTGGGAAAAATATCACAGAACAAGGAAAGAAAATAAATGTATATCCAAAGCATCTCATAAATAAGAAAGTGGAGGGGGGGTACTGTTGGCCTGGCTGGGTTTTCAGAGTATTTTTGTCACTGCGTAGAAAGCATTACAGTCTTTCAGCCTGTAATTCTTATAGTCTTCCTGCTATCAAAATCCATGGTTGTAAAATGATTTCTCTGGCTATTAAAACCAAAAGAGAAAAGGGAAGCAATAATTTCAAGGATTGAGGAGCTGGAAAATGGGACCTGGAGTTAAAAAAGAGAGAGAAGAAGAATAATAATTTGTTATCATTGGACAATGCAGTGATGCTTTATAATTTAGGGCAAGTCCCAGAAAATCCAACCAAAATTTTCCGACTGACTTTGGTTTAGTAGCAGCCTATTTGCCAGAGAATTTCACTTAGCATTCACTAAAATGCTAAGTGAAAATATTGGGGTTTGTTGAACGTGAGAGAGTCTTAGGTCTGCTATGTCTGGGTGGGATGGAGAAATTACAGCTTTGCCTGAGCTGTTGGTGTGGACCCAGGAGAACCTCAACAATCAAGGACCTCTGCATTGGACGTCTTTGTGAACTTCAACAACCTGAAACTAAAATTCTGGTTAAGAGGGTTAAGAGTTTTTACTATGAATATTAATTGACCCCAGAGGCATGGGTGCATTTCTGGGCTCTCTATTCTGTTCCATTGATCTATGTGTCTGTTTTTATGCCGGTACAATGATGTTTTGATTACTGTGGCTTTATAGTATAGTTTGATATCAGGCAGTATGATTCTCCAGCTTTGTTCTTTTTTTCTCAAGATTGCTGTGGCTATTCAAGGTCTTTTGTGGTTCCATATACATTTTTGAAGTATTTGTTCTAGCTCTATGAAATATGCCATTGGTATCTTGATAAGAATTGTGTTGAATCCATAGATTGCTATGGGTAGTATGGCCATTTTAACAATGTTAGTTCTCCCTATCCATGAACACAGTATGTGCTTCCACTTCTTTGTATCTTCAGTTTCTTTCTCCTGTGTCTTATTATTTTCCAAGTACATGTCTTTCATTCTTGGTTATATTTACTCCAAGATATTTTTTTTATACAGTTGTAAATGGGGTGGTCAAATTCTGGCTCTAAACTTTGGGCCAGGTCCTCAGACACCCAGTGCCTTGGTTTCTTCCTTTGTCACAGGAGAATAATAATAGAGCCTACTTTATTGGAGTTTTATGAGGATTAAGAGTTGGCAGATGCAAGGTGCTTTGCAGAATGCCTGGCGAAGCACAGGTGTCATTTTACTGAGACTGTTTGCTGAATAGCTATATGTGTCCTTAAAAGAATCCTAAAAATAAATTATATTGTTTAACTATAGGACCTTTGGAAAGTAGCAGTGCCCTATTTGGTGCCCCCAGTGTGTGCCTAAGGGGGGTGTGATTGATAGAAGGAGGCTTCAAGGGAATCCTGGGAGCAAATTCAAATAAGACCGATGACTCTTGAGCTATGGGGACCCTTTCCTTGGCCAGCTTCATGGACACATAGCTTTGGGGGGTTGTTCAGATTAGACAGAGAACAACTAATTTTTGTCATTTGGTTTCCTTTTGGATATTTATTTTTGGAATAGGTTCATAGACCAACACTAGAAATAGGTCTGAAAGAAATGCCACGTTTCTCTCTCTTCCATCTGACACACTTTTCTTTGTTGGCTGGACCGTGCTGCATAGCAGCTAGTATTGATTAGCCTGTATTTTCCTCAAACAAACTGTTCTCAGGCCACACAGAGTCTGGATGCTAGCAGAGCTAACACAGATGCTCGCGGCACCGAACACAATGGGGGTGGTCTCGTTGGAGCTGCGGGTTCCTCAGCAATGCATTGGGGACCATAGGGCCACTGCCTGTTTACTAGATGAAATGATAACATGAAAAACATGAATGTACTCAGCAAATACTAACTTTTTAACATGTTAATCTGTGTTCATGCAAATCTAATGGATCAAAGTCAAAATAATACATTTAGGTGTCCTGGGAGAAGTTCCACTATTTTCCTCTTAGAACTAAAAGAATGACAAAGTCTTCAATCACAAGTTACTTTTTAGACAAAAATCTCTTTTCATTTATTTGGTCCCCCCACTCCACTATTGAATGCAAACCTTACTCCAAGAAATAGCAGATTAAAGCTGAGGCCCCTTGCCTTTGATATGTCCAGTAGATTGCATTTTTGTCACAATGATATTTATTTCATGAGATCTGCTTCTCTTATAAGCAGCAGTACTTTGGTGTTTTAAAAACTTTCCACCATCCTCATAAACGAATCAGGATAAAATGCTAAGTGAAAATATTGGAGTCACTACACTGACTTAACTTAATGTAGAGATGCTGATAGGGATGCTCTTGAAACTGTGGGACTGTGGCCAGCGGTTTGTCGTTTGTTAGCTCATTAAATTCTCTTTTTCAAAAATGTCATCGGCATGGAAAAGACAGCTTACACATACCCTGAACTAACGCACAGAAGTGGGGGTGGTTTGGGCCTTGAGCAAGCGAACCAGAAGGCCTTCCTGAACTTGAATTAGAAAAGAAATTGTAGTTAGCCAAAGTTTCCCTGGCAAACCAGAGAGCTGAACTGCTCATTCAGAAGTGTTTAGGCACAAAACAAAAATACGTCATTTCATACAAATTACCTCTATTATGAGGTAAAAGCAGTTAACATTTCGGCTCTTTAACAAAGTATTGAGTTCTCTTAAACTATCCACCATTCAGATATGAATTTTCAGGACAGATACTAGTGATTGTTTTTTGACGATTAGCGCTGGAGAGTGGGTATTTGCTCTGGATAAGTCTTGTGGTGTCTGCTGGGTGATCTTGATCATGTGGAGAACTCACTGGGCATGTTTATAACCGTCATTCTGCCTCCCTGGTTTCTGCCTCGTGGGTGCTGACCACAGGCCAGAGCACTCCCCTGGGGCAGCCAGATACCAGGACCATGTGGACGTGGGCTTTAATGTCAGGTGCCTGTGCCCAGAGGCCTGCACATGGTGTAACTCTGGACAGCTCACAAATTCCAGGTACCGGGTGGCCCGGCTTTACCCTCTTTTGGGGGCATGAGGAAGTTAAGGCCCAGAAAGGTCAAAGGCAGAGATGTGGCTTTATCCCTAGCTGGTCTTTCTCCCCAAATGCTGTTGGTTCCACTGCAGCAGTTTTAGAGAGGGGGAGGGAGGGAGAAAGAGAGGGAGAGAAACATCAAAGTGTGGTTGCCTCTTGTGTGCCCCCTTCTGAGGTCCTGGCCTGCAACCCAGGCATGTGCCCTGACTGGGAATCCAACCAGCGACCCTTTGGTTCACAGGCTGGCACTCAATCCACTGAGCCACACCAGCCAGGGCTGCATTATGTTCTTCTTCCCTGCAGTGCTACATCTAAGAATAATCCTATCCTTTGACCTTCAGATGACTTTCCTAACCCCAGGTATGAAAGCTGGTTTTGCAGTACCTGGAGAAAGAAGCTCCCCCGACCACCACCCCAACACGTTTCTATGGAGATAAAACATGTCCTTCCTACTTGGTTACTTGGTGTTTGCCTTGTGGCACTTGGGTCTGGAGAAGGGAGCCAGTCTGGTGCCCAGTGAGGTCTGCTGAGGAATGAGGCTGACCAAACATTTTGTTCTCATCACAGAATCACGTGAACCCGGCCATGGACTTCACCCAGACCCCGCCTGGCATGCTAGCCCTGGACAACATGCTGTACTTCGCCAAGCAACACCAGGATGCCTACATCCGGGTAAGCTCTCGACCCCTCCCAGCTGGTGTAGGTTTTCCTGTGGAACTTGAGTTTCAGACCTACAGGTGTGGAGGTTTTCCCATGAGATGGGTGGCCCCAGATTTTTGGCTTTCATTACTCAGTCAAGTAAAAATTGAAATCAATCAGGGGCAATGAAGTAAAGACATTTAACTTCTGAGTTCTTTCCATATGATAGCATTTAAAAATACAGTGATCCTGGAAAACTGTTTTATGTGGTTCAATGTTTAACTTTGACAAAAGCTCTTAGACATAAATAACAAGGAAGATAAATTAACTGTCTACCAAAAAGCTGCATGATTCCAACTTGAATGGAAACCCTTGAACTATTCCACATCTTGAAAGAGGCTCAGGATTCTCTCTGATCCCGCTTCAAGTTCAGTGCAGCGCTGGGACACAATGAGCTAAACAGAGAGGAACGGGAGTGCTGGGGAGGGAAGGCAAAGTCTAGCTACCGAGGTGGATTCCTTGGCGGGTGTGGCAGAGGGAGAGTAGAAGACGCCGCCTGCTGATTGGGCAGTGCAGGTATGGGAAGGACCCAGGGAGGATGAAGGGGGCCTTAGGGATGGTGATAGAGAAGGCCGGTCCTTCTGGGCTGCTCCACAGGAGTTCCTGGATTTGTGCTGACATCTGATGCCTGTCCTCAGGGTGAAGTATAACTAATCCGAGATTGACAAGGAATAGGGTATGAATAAATGGGACAAGAGAGCTGGTGACCAGTTAAAAGGTCAGTTGGACCTCAGCTTAGAAAATGATAAACAAATTGTCTAACACAGGAAGAGTAGGGCTGAAATTAGAATAAAGGAGGAGTCTGTTACTCTCATATTTTCTCTTCATCTCTGGTGGTGGCGCCAGCTTCCTGGAGACTGGGGTTTGAGGTCCAGCACGTGGTTGTCTAGCATGTCTAGTGATGTGAGTGTGGACCGTTCCTTCTGGTCTGGGCTAAAATTTCTTGTCTAAACAAGGGAGCAGTGTTTTTCTGGGGGGAAATGTGTGAGTGAGTTCCTTTGGTTATCACCCTGCTCTGTGGGTGCTACTGGGCCAAAGCTGTCGTTCAGGGACAATCTCCACGGTGAAAAATCATCCTGCCCAGCAGTGGCCCCTTGAAAAAGTCAGGCCAGGCCTCAGAGCTCCCTGTGGGCACTATATTTTGACTTGATGAGTTTTTCTATATGCAATTTAATAAGCTTTAACTTCTACTGGAATATTATTTGTTATTTGATTATGTGAAGGACTTGATGCATTTCTATGAAACGTGAGATCAGGTGCTTAGCCAGAAATGCAATCTTCCATAAGAAAATTGTTTTCTCTTCTTCCCGTTTTATTGAGAAATAATTGACATATATCACCACCATATAAGTTTATGACATTTAGCACAGTGGTTTGATTTACATACCTGGTAAAGAAAATTGTGTTTTTTTTAATAAAAGTTTTATTTGGCTTGTAATGTGTATATATTAATTGCACAGATTGTTTTCCTAGGAATGTAATCTACTCTCACAAAAGTCAATTAGTATGTTTGAGACACCGTGTAGTACAGCCTTAGAGAATTGTGTGTGAAAAGAAGCCATGTAGAAATTGAATTTAGGATTAATGATTAATGTATGTGGGTGAATGTTCGTAAAATTAGAGCTCATTGATGCTGAATATATTGTTAATTGCATAAGAAAAATATGTCTTATGAAAAGTAATTTTATGTTTTCAGCCCATTTTCTTCAGTGTATTCTCTAAACTGTATAAGTGAAATGATTTGCTGGAAACCTGATAGAACTTTATATCTAATAGTGACTTAAAGGAAGAACCCTTTCTTTGTGCCCTGACTGGGTGGCTCGGTTGGAGTATCGTTGCATGGACCAAAAGTTTGCAGGTTCAAACCCCAGTCAGGGCACGTACCCACGTTATGGGTTCAGTCCCTGGTCAGGGTGTGTATAGGAGGCAACTGATTGATGTTTCTCTCTCTTTCTCTCCCTTCATCGCTCTCTAAAATCAATTCTTGGGTGAGGATTTTTTTTTAAAAATCCTAGTTTAAAGTATGGCCCTGTTGTCTGCATGTCCTGTTATTTATTGGGTAGACATTCCTATAACTGACATGCGCATTATCTTCTCGAAAGTGCTCTTGTCTGTCTCCCATCTGACTTTGGATCTGACTGGACGGGGAGCGAAGGCTGTGCACATGGACGAGGTCCTGGGAACGTAGGGGGGCTGAGAGGTTCTGCAGGAAGGGTCTGTGGTGACTGCGACATCCAGGTACAGCCGAGGCTGTGCAGCTGTGCGGCAAAAGTAGACACCGGCAACAGGCAGCTCGGACGGCTTATTGAATGTTGATCTGTGAGCTGAGCGGTCTCTTCTGCAGCACAAAAATGAGTTCTTTTTGCTAAGTTTACATTTTTATAAAATTTCCCTCTTTTTCCCACTAGGTAAATTTCCTGTCTCAGTGCCGTGATTTATTCATTATTTATCCGTGGATCAGTAAGCACTTGTTCTGTGCTTGGTAGTAGGCCCGCCACCCCCTTTGCCAGGCAGATCTGCAGTGAGGTTTGTAAAAGAAATCGTAACACACACTGGCACACACAGATGTTCCCTCTTTGAGCTGGGCGCCCTCCTCCCCCATCACGTTGGCTCGGACACTGTGCCTTTGTGGTTTCCCAAGCCATCTCGTGCCTCCTGTTCTGACACGCCTGCCACTCGCTTTGCCGTGCCCTGCTCCGTGGCTGCACCTGTCACTGTCCCAAGTGATGTGGGGTAGTCTTCTCTGCCCTCATCTCCGCTGCCCTCCCATCCACACTGGACACTGGTTACCGTTCACTTGTCTCTCCTGCTGCCCGTCCTCTTCTCCTCTTGGCTGCCTTCCTAGTCTCTCCAGTGGGTTTCGCTCCCTCTGCCTGACCATCGTAAGAACATGGTCCCCAGACTCTGTCTGTGGACCTTTTGTTTCAATCACTCCGGCTGCACAGGTTTACAAAGTAGCCACCCAGTGTCCATCAGTGAGCTAGCAGACGGGGACTCGCCAAGGTCCAGGTCACTAGTGAGTCCTGTCAGTGAGGAGCTTACTGGCTAGAAAAGGAAAGGAGGGTGTGGTGGGGGACGGGAGGAAGAAAGAAATATCAGGCACTTTCTGAGTCACTGGGCATGTATTTTGATTGGGGAGGCGGGGAAATTGGGGACCCAGAGGACAGTCATCAACACACGTGTGGAGGTCAAATCAGGAAAGCTTCCTGGAGGAAGTGGTACCTACTCTAAAATCTGTTGGATGGCTCTAGTTAATTGGGTGGAGGGAAGGGAGTGGGGAAGTACTCCAAGCAGAAGGAAATAGTGAGCAAAGGCAGAAAGGCATGTGATTTGTTCAGGGGACCAAAAATAGTAACATAATATGTCTACAACGGGGAGGGCTGCCTGTGACCAGGGCTGGAGAGGCGAAAGCAGGCTCGTTCATTAGGAATCTTTTAGCTCTCTCTGGGGTGGTGTTTGGGCTTTAACCTAAAAGCAGTGGAGAATTTCTGAAGTGTTTAAAATAAAGATGACGAGAGTTAATTTTAGAAAAACCACTCTTCTGCCAGAAAACAAATGTGAGAAATCGCGACTAGCAGCGAAAATAAAATTTGGGAGATTATGGAGAGATGATGGTAACCTGAACTAGGATAGTGGCAGTGGCACCGGGGAGCAGCAGCTTGAATGAGTTATTTTCGAGCAAAAATGAACCGCAGGGTCTCAGAGGACGAAAGAGGGAGATTACTGGCTTAAGCAGACGGATGGACGGCAGCGGCATCAGTGAAAACGTGCGGGGCTGTGCGGGGTGTTCATTTGGAGCTACCAGACTCTTGCATGCACACGGGCCACCTGTGTAGGTAGACCTTCTGGTAGGCAGTGAGTGAAGGGCAGCAGAGATCAAATCCACGTAGACACTGCATTCTGTGTACTCGTAAGTTCCGGTCCCTTCTAACCCCCTTTGCCTGACCATGGCTGGGATGACCTTTCTAAAGTGAGTTCAGAAGGCTTCCGGGGTCACCCCTAGCCCACAAGTCCATCTCTTGTAGAACCTGCCACAGGGTGGATTTTCACAATGTCCTGTTTGTTAAGTGAGTAAAGAGTTTCTTTGGTTTCTTTTTAAATGGTCTTTTGCCAATGATCAATTTATGTTTTATCATCCGAGAAGCATGGCCTTTGTGCTTTTGGCAGTTACTGTATGGAGGTAGATTTTTGAACATGAATTTATTGACTGGTAGCCTGGTTTCATATGCGTTCTTTGAATAAACTCTGTAGCTGTGCCCTAATGGGAGCAGTGGATGCAATTGAGTTGCCCCCTGCCTACCCACTGGGGCAGGCACAGAACGCAAGGAGGGATTGTGAGTCCCAACAGGCCGAGAGTCAAATTAGGAGTCCTGGTGTGATTTCAGACTTCTGGGCCTTTACTGACTTGGGGCTCACGGGCGTCTGCTTTTCCCATGGACCTTCTCCCACCTCCCCCACTAAGGCCCATCTGTGAGAGGTACAGGGCTGTCACTAGTCCACAGACAGGACAGTGATACATGCTGAGCATGGCGTGGCTTTGTTCGCCTTATTATTATTATTATTATTATATTTTTTGTCCTTTCTGTACTGATAAGCTCAGTGTCTCTACTACTCTACTGGAAGTAAAACCTTTGGACTTACACATTCTTGATGTGTTTAATTTTTCACTGGGACCTACAGAGAAACACAAACAACTTGGTTTTCGTTGGGTTCAACACTCATGCTGGCTATTGTGGGAGCCAAGTTTCAGCCACAAAGTAGGAAGTATTGACAAGAAAATATAAAGCTCCTACATACACGATGGCCAGCTCTGAGGTGGGAGTGAAGCCCTAAAAAATACGCAGGGAAAATGCTACATTGAGCAGAGCAGTTTCAGGATGAAGTGAATTCTTCATCAGAATAATCTTCAACCCTTAGTGCTTAGTGTGGGTTGGGTAACATACAAGAACTGCTCTATAAATTAGCTCCTTTTT